TATCAGCCAAGTTAGGCTTGCATCCGCATTCGACTCGGATACTTCTAAGTGTTACCGATGAAATAACGCCGACCTAAATCGCACATCGCGTATTCACACTTAGAAGAGAAGTGGTACGAACAAACATAAGCCGGGCCTTGTATTCACACTTCAAAACTAAAGCCAGAATCCGCTCTGCAATTCTTAAGTCATGCGAAATTAGTAAGCCGATCTGGTCGCAGTTCGTATTCGACTTAAAGAATTTCTAAGTATGAAATAAATGCCGATCTTATACGCTCATTCACTTTATACTTAAGCCGATATCGAATCGCAGTTTGTGTCCAGATATCATGTAAACTAACTTTTTTATTAAACACCCAATGGCGAAAAATACATCATAGTATCCAATATAATGGGGGGGGGGGGGGGGGGGGGGGGGGGGGGGGGGGGGGGGGGGGGGGGGGGGGGGGGGGGGGGGGGGGGGGGGGGGGCAAATATTTCTTTTAGCTTTCAAGTCGTCTTCGGTTTGTAAGTCTTCACTTTGATTCAATAAAATCTTAATCTTCAAAAATTATCGTTCATTATCATATCGGCATCTTGGCCAGATGCTCGATCCGCCTGAAGCAAAAGTCTGATCCACTTTAGCTCGGCAACTCAAAGCCAAGTCCGTCTTGCATTCAACAGTTTTACCTGTTTTACTATGTCCGAGCCATGCGTTGTTATCAGCCAAGTTAGTCTTGCATCCGCATTCGACTTGGATACTTCTAAGTGGTACCGATGAAATAACACCGACCTGAATCGCACATTGCGTATTCACACTTAGAAGAGAAGTGGTACAAACAAACATAAGCCGGGCCTCCCGCATGTTTGTATTCACACTTCAAAACTAAAGCCAGAATCCGCTCTGCAATTCTTAAGTCATGCGAAATTAGTAAGCCGATCTGGTCGCAGTTCGTATTTGACTTAAGGAATTTCTAAGTATGAAATAAATGCCGATCTTATACGCTCATTCACTTTATACTTAAGCCGATATCGAATCGCAGTTTGTGTTCAGATATCAAGTAAACTAACTTTTTTATTAAACACCCAATGGCGAAATATACATCATAGTACCCATCAGATTACAAAATAAAAAGGGGAGGAAAAGTTAATCTTCGGTTTCTTCCTGGATTTCTCCCTCTTCCTTATCGGCCTCTCGACCGGCACTCTGTTCGGCGTCTCCGCCTTCCCCCTTATCTGCATCTATGTCGTCTCTATCAGCTTCTGGATCCTCTTCCACGTCAGCTCCTTCTAAAGACTTAGCCGCCTCCGACGGAATACTACTCGAAACCTCGAGAAAAATCTCCGGCTCTGGAACCTTAAGATCGTCAAATGTGAAGCTAACTTCTTCGAAGGCTTCCTGCTGTGCCTTGCTATCCGCGATCATCTTTTCCACGTTTTCATCGATCAAAGTCGGGAAAGTATAACCCTGCCTACGGACGATCTCGAGAGTCCTTTTTGCACCGGCCCATTGGGCTACGGTTGAAATAAGCTCTTCAGCCTTGTCCTTGCGAGAGAGAGAATCCTTTACCTTCGTCACCAGACCGGCATAATGGTTATTTACAGCAACAGCTACGCGCTTAGCCACATCTTGACCGAAGGAGAATTTAGCATCTTCAGCCGCTTTATGCTCGGCCTCAAACTTCTTCTCTGTGTCGGCCCTCTCCTTCGTAATCTGCTTCACCGTTCGGTTCAGCAGCCTGTTCTTCTCGGCGTTATCAGCGCGGAGCTTCGCCAAGTCTCCAGCGGATGCCCGCATCGCGGCATCTAGCTCGGCATTCTTTTGTCTTTCAACCTCAAGGGCCTCCTTCACAGCTTCGGTCTCAGTATGATCGGATTGACACCTTTTGGCATCACGATCATACTCGCATAATATCGTCAGTGCGGTACTCAGAGCCTACATTCATAAATCTCATCAGAACTGATATAATGTAAGGGGAACAAAAAAAAAGAGAAAAAGAAGAGCAGTCAGAAAAATTTACCCTAGCTTGGTCGTTAGCATAGCGCGCGATTGCCTCGCTGCGAATGAAGCTCCGAGGGTCTGTTGCAGGAAGATCCGGATGATCCCTCAGCCGGAGAAAATAGTCGAGACAGGATTCGGGATCGCTCACCAATGGACTATTTCCTCGATAGTCATAGGAAAATCCAAACCGACGAAGCTGCCGATCGATCCGAGGTCTCTTCGACCGTTGCGAATCCTCAGGAGTGTCGTCCACATTCTGACCATCTTCACCTGCGGGCCCTCCCAGATCGGCCTTCTTCCGGGCCTTCTCCGCCTTCCAGACAGCTCTTTTATCGGCAGACTTCTTTGCCTTGGCCGAATCTCTCTCCCTTTTGTCGGCAGCCGCATTGGCCTTGGCCAGATTATCCTCTGGTACAACCGGATTCCTTCGCTCCTCCGAAGGCCCATCCGACGCAGGATTTTGGGCCTCTTTAGCACCCGAAGATTCGAACATCAACTCGAGGTCGGCCGATAAGTCTTTAAGAGGGCGAGATTTCATCTTATCGGTTCGATTCTGGTGTCTAAGAAGAGCAACTGCAATTAAAGGGGTGTCACCCAACCTAATGCATAAAAAACTCACGAACATAAGTGAAACGATTTACACCAACCTCTTGTCCTCTCGATCCTCCCTTCTGTAATCTCCGGCCAGGTGATTGCGCTGATCACTGCAAACCATTCAGAAATCTTGTAAATATCGAGGGGATCGTCAACAAAGCGAAGATGCCTATTACCTGCAAAATTAAAGATACCGATCAGATAAGTTCACCGTGATCTTAAACAATTCTTTAGGCCGGACGTGTCTCTATCCATGACCTCCGCCCATTTCGTTCGAATCTTGATGTCTCGGTCGATGATGGAATGCTCGTTTATCAGCACGAAGAAATAATGATTCCTCCAATCATTAACCTTCGATTTCTGGCCACCCGTGACTATGTTGAACCGGGTCTTCATGCTCGTATAGTATGACCCTCGGTTCTTCAATTTTTCCTTTGTCCTCCTGGTATTCGTCATCTCGTCAAACACAGCCCGGCTAAGAGGAATATTATGCCTGGTCGACATCACCAGATACTGACGATCAGACGGATTGTCGAGTGAGAGAATTACGAGATCGGCATCTCCTTGTGATCGGCGAATTCCAACAACAGTCTTAGAAGAGGGAACCAGAGATGGAAATCCCTGAAAAAGCATTGGTAGACGCAGAACCATCCCTCCGGAGCATCCCATGGCTGTTCTGACGGGCTCGGTATCATGAAGATGACTTCAGGACCGATGTCACATTCTTCCTTCAGTGTCACCAAAGACTTCATAGTTGATTTTGTTGGCATTACTCCGAGGAGGTTATCACAGATCGGCTTCGGAGCTGGCTCGCCCTTCTTCCTTGTGACCTTTTTAACAGGGGGATTCAAATCGACAATCCCGAACTGATTCGCTTTATCTTCAGCAATAAGTGTATTCAGTTCGTCGGAGATGTCCATCTCGTTCGATCCACCCCTCTCGTCTAACTCATCTCGCAGTTCGGGAATCAGAAACGGTTCTCTCGTCGACGCCTCACCGCTCCTCAAAACAGCACCGACCTGACCCGCATGGAAACGCTCGGCTGCTGCCCTCTGATTTTTCTCTCTGACTCGCTCGTGAAAAGCCCGATCTAACGCAGATAATTCGCTAGCATCAGAGGACCAATCTGACGCTACATCATTCGTGATCTCCTTTCCCTTTGATCGGCCTCTCGCGGCCTGGTCGTCTTTCTCCATTTGGAGGAACTCCTCCAAAGAGACGCCGATCTCATCAGTTTTCCCTCTAGCGGACCAAACTTCTTTTGACTCTGATCGTCCCTCTTTGATACTCAAACACTTGCTCATCACTGTGGTTTTCGCAAATCAGAGAAATCAAACGGCGGAGAACGAACGAACACGGCGGAGGTCTGATCGGAAAATTTCTAGCTAAAATAAATGAAGAACAAAGAAGAGAAAGGAGAGAGTAAACCTGATTTTGACAGAGTTTCGCTAGAAATGCACAAGTGAAGAAATGGAAGCCGAGTCCCTCTTATTTACAGGAAGGTCTGGACGGTTATCGAGAGTCATCATGAGCCCGGTGACCTTTTCACATTTCTTCTTATATTTTTTTATCGGCCTCTTCACCTTCTCCTGCTAGGGTTTGACACGCGTCAACCCTAGTTCTGCATGCACGGACCTGAGCCTAGCCTACATCATCTTTTGGGCGGGAATTTTTCGCGCCTAGAATCACAATCTGGCCCTCATCACCATGCCGATCAGAAATTCCAGGTAATAATTCCATTTTTATTCTAACTCTTTTTACAGTCGACCAGAATACATACCAAGCAACACCTCGTGAAATTCACCAAGTAACGTTCCCTCACTTGCCGAACTGGGGGGGGGACTTACTGTTAGAGATGAGATTTGTACCATCTCCAACAAGCCCGATATGAATTCTGGTCGGCCCGTCTAACAAGTTTCAGGTCGGCGATGTAAATGTAATCTTTCATTTATCGAGCGACCTGGAAAAGGAAACTCTTTCTTGTCAGCAAGAAGACTTTCCTATTCTTAACACATTGAAGACCGACCTGGTCAATTATAAATATAGGAAGTCTCCGACTCCTCAGATCATCCGAAAATCATTGATCAAGACCTAGAGCAAACTAAGCAATCAGATTATTCTAGCTTTTGATTTACTTTTCCTGAGTTTAGGTCGGTGTTCTTATTCCAACGACTTAAACACCGTTGTATTCTATCAAGCTCCGGCTTTTTCTAATAAAAGATCTCTCCTTAAACCCTAATTCTTCTATAAGTCGAATTTGAGTTTTTACAGTACCCTTTTCAATCATCAGAACAATCTCTCCACATCTTGTCACTAGACCGTTAGCTCGCACAAAACCCCTAGGGAGATTCTGAAAATTCATTACAATAATACAACATGATTTTGGTATAATTCAGAACTTAGTATAAGAGTTTATTCTTTTTGTTCAAATCTTGACTAGTAAGTAATACCAGTTTGTCGTTACGTATGCTCGCATGCGAGACTTTAGCCACAAAACAAGAAGAATCTGTCTCTTTCTGGATTCTTTTTCACTTTCATCTTCTTTTGAATCTTACCTAAAAAAAAGAATAAATCTCATTTGCAAATATTCAAAGTGAGTTTCTCTACTTCCAAATATCTCTACTTGAAAATACTCAAAAGAAGAATAAATCAACTCACCGAGCTTGTTCTCGTCGTCTACACACGGCTCATATTGAATCTCACAGCAACTTGGTCCCATGAATGTGACGTGGAAAGCCATGTCTTTCTCTTGTCTGAAAATGACAATGTCACCGATTCGAAGATCGTGTGTGCGAGAGCAAACTCTTTTCAACCATCAGTGAGTCTCCGGCCATCTTCGATCTTCACTTCCCAGGTTATCTTCGAGGCGTCTGACCTGAGCTTCGCCGTAGTCTTCTTCTGCTCATTTCTTCCTTTCATATAATTTGAGAAGAAAGCTACAGGAATAGTCTGAAGCAACATCATGCAAATAAAAAACCATCGTTCTCGATTAGCTTCTCGGAGAGACAGAGAAAGATATAGAAGAAGGGACAGAGAGAGAGAAAGTACCAAGTGGCTGTGGAAGCCAGGAAGAAGAGGCTGGAAGAAATGTTTATTCGCCATCCTCAGAAGCTCCAAATCTTTCGAACTCTACAGTGCTTGAAGACGACGTTTCAGTGTCCTTTCCATTGTAGAGCTTCTTGTTTTTGGTTGGTTAAGTATGGCCGTATGGGTCCTATATATTGTAGCGCTATTTCTTTTCCCTATATTTTCGCATGCTTTCTTTTCTAATTAACATATTTTTCTTTTTTGTATTTATTAGTTTTCCGAGTAGGAACGAAACTTATTTTGTCTAGTTCATAGGTGAAAAAAGTGAAAATTTTCCCTAACCTCACTCCATTAGCTTCACAAAAATCATACCAACTATCTCCCAAACCGCATGAGATATTTGACAAAAGATATGTCGACCATTCAATTCCCTTTTTTAGGGTTTGTATTAAATAAAACTTTACAATTTTCTGTTGACTTGCAATATCTTTGAATTAATATTTTGTTGATACAAGAAAATTATAATATCTTTGAGTTAATTTTTTTAGTAGTTACAATGAAATCAAAATGTATTTATCCATCACAACCGGCTCAACATTAGCAAAAACAATTATGAGTTATGTTCAATATTCAAAATATAAACCTCATGCTTTTATTTGGTTAATGACTTACTAGTATTTATATGGTCATACAATTTTACTTGCAAGAGAAATTAAAACTGATGATTATTCAGTGATATGGTTGTATAATTGATGTATTTTTTCACTTGAGTTTTGACGCAACCCATATAAAATCAAAAGCTTTCTAGTCTCCGATTAAATTATAACACTGATATAAAATATAATTGTAGTTTCAAAAAGTACAGATCATATCATAAAAGTCAATATTTTTCTATGAGAATTAAAAAGAGTAGTAGTAGTAGTGAGGCAAGTCCTCGAACAACGTACGTTCTTCAATATTGCTCTACCCTTGTTTCGCCACTATTCCTTCCTCCCTTCATATCACCAAAAAAATCATCAAAAATAAATAAATCCAAATATATCAAAGTTTTAAAAAGTATAAAAATACGGTACATACTTTAGAAGAGACGATGGTGGAGGATTACAGATAGCTTCGCAATGCAACTGACATTTGTAATCATCTATGCCGCATTTGACAATGCAGTTTTTGAAACATGAAGGACCTTTTTTTGCACCATTGGTATCCATTCCATTGCATGTCTTGAGATCACATCCCATTATTAACAATGCCATTACCAACATCATCACCATACACAATTTTCCTGCCATTTTTTGTTACAATTTTTGGTTCAAATAAAAAACTCAATGTAAGATTGTTGTTTGCGGTTTGTTTTGTGTGGGTATATATATATATATATCTCCCTAAGGGAATAAGATCAATTGGTCTATTACGCAGAGATTGTAATGAGATACAATTGATTGTAAGAATGACTAGTGAAATACACTTGATCTTCTTTCTTTAATAGTTTCATCATATTAATGTAAAATTAATATTTTATTTTGAATTAAATGGAAACTGATGTTCTATTTGATAGAATATGCAATCCTTTTGCATTATTCTTTCTTTTTGTACCATATAGTAATAGCCTAATTGGACAATAAATTTCCAGGAAAAGTACAATATGATTTAAATTGATTTTTTTAATATCTAATAATATTTTTCTTTCTAATTTATCCATTCCATTACATGTCGTGAGATCACATCCCATTATTAACAATGCCATCACCAACATCATCACCATACACAATTTTCCTGCCATTTTTTGTTACAATTTTTGGTTCAAATAAAAAACTCAATGTAAGATTGTTGTTTGCTGTTTGTTTTGTGTGGGTATGTATATCTCTCACTAAGGGAATAAGATCAATTGGTCGATTACGCAGAGATTGTAATGAAATACAATTGATTGTAAGAATGACTAGTGAGATACACTTGATCTTCTTTCTTTAATAGTTTCATCCTATTAACGTAAATTAATATTTTATTTTGAATTAAATAGAAACTGATGTTCTATTTGATAGAATATGCAATCTTTTTGCATTATTCTTTCTTTTTGTACCATACAGTAATAGCCTAATTGGACAATAAATTTCCAGGAAAAGTACAATATGATTTAAATTGATCTTTTAGTATCTAATCATATTTTTCTTTCTAATTTTATACATTAACATAAAAATGTATCAATTTCCATTCAAGAAATTTTTTTTCTTTTAATAGATAAAAAATACGCAAAATTTGATACCAAATCGTTTATTCAAAATTTCGATAATACACTGAATCTGCATACCACTAAATGAAATTAATGGTTTAGACTGGTTTTAACTTTTATGAATAATTGACAAAATTGGATACCGAAAAATCTGAAACAGTAAACTAAATTATCTACCTCTAAATAAAACTACTTTACTAATTCAAAAACATTTCAAAACTATTTTACTTTAGTGATGAAATGGTTAATGAACAAATCCATACTATTAATTCAGGTTCACTTCAATTGAACCTCAATGTTTAAATATAAATTATGAGTTATATTATATGAAATGCCATTGGTTTTTTGTTTTTTTTTTTAAAAAAAATTTATTAATGCTAGTTTAGTCATTTCTTAATACAAGTAATTGATTTTTATTATTATTTTTCTTTATTTAATTCTTATATACTTATTATCAAACAACTTAGTTTTCAAATATTATTTAGATTAATTTAACTCCAATTACCATACACATTTAAATAATTTCAAATTTTCCATAAATAATTATTTCGAAAATAATAATCAATCTTATAATTAATTACATACAAGTTTATATAATACGAAATGACATTATAATTACTATATGTATGAGATTTAATTATAAATATTTATACAATATCAAACATTTTGCAAAACAAAATATAACAAATAATATTTTTCAAATATTTATTATTATGTGACAATATAATAGGCTAAACAGATATGTTTATAATAAAATACAAATTATAATTAATATAAATATAAATAATTAAATTATATATATTTACACATTATAAAACATACTGCAAAATAATTATTACAAAAACAAAAATTATATTCTTATTATTATGCAATAATATAACCAAACACATATGTTTGTAGGAAAATAAATTTTATGAATAATAATATATTATTTGTTATATGTTTATTGCAATTTAATATCAAATTAAATTTTGATTAAATTAATTCAAATTTAAAAGCATCATGGTAAAATTTAAAAGCATCATGATTAATTAATAGTAAATGATGATAATCATATATTCTTATCCAAATTATATTTAGTTCTATCAAATAACTAATTAATCGATTGCACTAAATATTGTGATATCCCCTTATATATTAATTGAGAAATATTTTTAAAGAGTAAACTCATTTTTGTAAATATTTACAGTGGTGCCATTATGCTGATGTGTCAACCCCACATTCATTCTCAACTAATTTTTTAAAAAGACTTAGATTACTAGAATAATTAAAAAATAATATTTTTTTCTCAAAAATCAATCACAACAAATAAAAGAAAGCCATAATAATTTTATTCACACATTGTTGTAGTTATAGCACGCATTAAAATAATTGTGAAAACATATATAATACTCCAAGCTAAATATTTTTAAGTGTGTATTTTTTAACAATTCATAATAACATATACAAAAATATATTATTAGAAATATATGTTATTTTCGTGACAAACATCAATTAAAAAGAAAAAAGTCATAATGATGAATTTCCAAAATTATTAGGATATATATTATTATTATTCGGATTTACTATATAAACAAATATGGTATTTAGCATGATTGCTTATTTTTTTGGTAAGAGAGCATAACATGATATATCAATATTAATTGTTTATTTTTTAATTAATGTTTGATGTCTCATATACAGCATCAAATTTTCAGCAAGATTTAATTTTTTTCCTTAGTTTCTCGGCTTTAAATCAATCAATTTAACTACAATAAATTTTTTATAAATTGATAATATTGTGATTTCAATATTTTATTAATTTATATAACTATTAATTTATCGATTTGGAATTAAATAAAATATTTATTAATAAATAATTAAAAATAATATTTGTTTTGAAAGTTAATGATATCTTTTGTAACACTTTAAATTGTAAATAAACCATAACATTATCTCAATTTTAAGAAACGCAAAATGTATTCATATTTTAGTAAATTATCTTAGTTATATATTTATATAAGATTATTTTATGGTAATTATTAATTTATGATATTAATGGAACCATATATTTATATAGGTTTTCGTAAAAAATATTATCTTATCGATTTGTATTATATTTTGAACAAGTCTAATTTGGGATTATAAAAATTTATTAATTTTAACTAATAATATTTAATAGATAAGTAACAAACTATTTAAATAATAATATTTAATTATTTAAAATTGAAAAGTAATTAAATATATTCATAAATATTATATACCCAGATCTTGGACATGATGAAACTAATGAATCATATCATCAATCACGAGATATAGAAAATCTATACGGTAAATTTGTATTTCTACCCAGCTATATCATGTGATATGCATGTTACTTAATTTTTAAATTAATTTATATTAATTAACATTACAATTAAATTATCTTTTATTTCAAAAAATTAAAAAAACTATATGGTCAATGTTATAGTATAATATAATACAAAATTCATATAAATTTATTTATATTATATTATATGAATTTATAATTATATTAAATTTAAATAAATAATAATTATTCCACCTTGCACAGGGTGCGGGTTATTACCTAGTTTTATTAACACTCGATCACTAAAATTATGGAGTACGCTTCCCAGATAAAAATAAAAATATTTATAATTAAGAAACAGTAAATGCATAAATTTAAAGCATATTCTAAAAATATGGATTTTAGCATATTTTTAAAAATACTACAAACAATATTGATAAATTTTTATTGTAGATGTAGTAACATATTAATAATAGGAAAAACTCAGTAAATTAATAAAATATTTTCATAATTTACAATTAACAAAATAAAACTATTTATTATAATATTATTTCAATAAATTATAAGGAAAATGAAAAACAGTAACTCACCTTATCTCATTTTCTCTAATTTGTTTTGGCTAAATTTTTTTCTCTATTTAGATATTCCAAAAAAATGTTTTTGCAAACATCAGTATGTTTTAGTCGAAATTAAATTTTTATATGTTAAATATTTTTTTTCAGTTTATTTACTATGTATATGGTTGTTATTTTAAATTTTTTTAGCTTTTAATTTATCATTTTTTTTGTTTGAGAAAGAAGGAGAAGAAGAACAAATAAGAAGGGAAAGAAGAAGGAGGAGAATAAGGAGAAAGGATGGAAGAGAAGAAGAGTGGATGAAAAAGAATAACAACAGAGAAGAAGAAGGAGAAACAAAAAAAGAGAAGAACAGAAGAAGAAGGAGAAGAAGGAAAAGAAGGGATAATAAGAAGGGATGAAAAAGAAGAAAAACATAGGAGAAGAAGGACAAGTGATGAAGAAGAAGACTAATAGAGAAGATGAAAAAAAAACGGAAAAGGAGAACGGAGAAGAAAGAGAATGGATGAAGAAGAAGAAGACATGAAGTAAGAAGAAAAGAAGAAGGAGGAGGATAATAAGGAGAAGAAGGGATGAAGGAGAATATGGATACATAGAAGAAGAAGAAGAAGAAGAAGAAGAAGAAGGGAGAGGAAGAATAACAAAGGAGAAGGAGAAGAAAGAGAAGAAGTGATGAAAAAAAGAAAAAGAAGAAGGGATGGAGGAGAAGACGAAGGAGTAACCAAAAGTTTTTAGCTCAACTGGTAAATGATCTAGGCAAAGCTCAAAGATCACATGATCGAGTGACACTTAAAATGAAACTAATATTACATGATGTGGTTTCGGGCCTGCAGAGATTGCAGGCTTCAGCCCAGAACCTCGTGGTAATCCAAAAAAGGAAGAAGGAGAAAAACAGAAAAAAAGAAAAATGAAGGATAAAAATGAGAAGAACAAAAATAAATGAAGGGAGAGAAACAGAAAAGATGAAGAAGAAGGAATTAAGAAGAAGAAGTAGGAGAAACAAAAGGAGAACAGGAAATTGTTAGGGTCGGTTTCTAATATGACGAGATTAACAAAGAAAATGCTAAGTTTGGAAATGAACCTAGCCAAACTGAAGAGGTGATAAGCCAGACTGACAAGCCGAGCTGGCAAACCACCAAGCCGAACTCGCAAACCGCTGAGCAGAAACAACGAGTCGGGTCAATAAAGACGGATCAAACCATTCATGTCCACCGAACCAGATAGGTGGACCGAACCAACATGATAGACCAAACCGATGAGTCGAGGTCAGAAAAGATGTACCAAACCATTTAGTTATCAAATGAGAG